TGCTCGCCAAGATGCAAGTCGCCGAGCTGACCTTGCTCGCCAACTTTAAAGTTCCTTGCCGAGCTGATTTTGCTCGCCAAGAAGCAAGTCGTCGCACTGACTTTGCTTGCCAACCTTGGAGTTCCTTGTTGAGCTGATTTTGCTCACCAAGAAGCAAGTCGCCAAGCTAACCTTGCTCAGCCGAGCTGATTTTGCTCGCCAAGAAGTAAGTCATCGTGCTGACTTTGCTCGTCGACCTTAGAGTTACTTATTGAGCTGATTTTGCTCATCAAGAAGCAAGTCGCCGCGCTGACTTTGCTTGCCGACCTTGAAGTTCTTTGCCGAGCTGATTTAGGTCACCAAGAAGCAAGTCACCAAGCTGACCTTTACTCGCCGACCTTGAAGTTCTTTGCCGAGTTGATTTTGCTCGCCAAAAAGCAAGTCGCCGAGCTAACCTTTGCTCGCCGACCTTGAAGTCTTTTGCCGAGCTGGTTTTGTTCACCAGGAAGCAAGTCACCGAGCTGACCTTTGCTCGCTGACCATGAAGTTCCTTGCCGAGCTGATTTTGCTCATCTAGAAGCAAGTCGGCGTGTTGACTTTGCTCGCCGACCTTGGAGTTCCTTGCCAAGCTGATTTTTCTCGCCAAGATTCAAGTCATCAAGCTGACCCTGCTTGCCGACCTTAGGGTTCTTTGTCGAGCTGATTTTTCTCGCCAATGAAGTTACCAAGCTGATTTTGCTCGCCGAGAAATAAATCACCGAGCTAACTTGGTTAAGTGGTTGACAAGAAAATTGAAAAACATTTCGAAAAAATTGAGCTATGAAGATTATTGCAGTAGTGCAGCGCAGGACCGAAAACAAGTGATGAAACTTGACCGAGCTATCATGAAGCTTGATGACAAATCGAGCTAAAATGAAGATTATACAAGAATAAAGTAATCTCAATCAGGTTGCAACCGATGGGATAAAGGGGCAATTGAGAAGGGAAAATCCAATGACTAGAATGGGCCGAGCTATGCATGTGCTCGGTCGAGAAGTGTGGGCCGAGTTGTGTGTAATTGAGGGGAATTTACACCAAACAAAGGATCGGGCTATATGTGATTTCGGCCGACCTAAGGATAGTTCGAGCTAATGACACCATCCTCTGTATGGACCGAGCAACATTTGGCCGAGCTGCGGTTGACCGATTGGACAACTCGGAGTTGAGCCAATTGATGGAAGTTGGTAAACAACCTTGCGCCAGGTCATGGGTAGTACGGCAAAAGCCACTACGTGGCTCAACTGTACTGCGAGGAGGAAAACCTGCCAATGGTGTGCGTCAATACCGTTTGGCAGTTTGGCCAATGTTGTTTGATGGTATTGACGGGTACACGTGTAAAAAATAGAGAGGGCAGTACAGCCACACGTCCAGGAAAGGATGAGCAGCGTGGTGCGTGCAGAGGCTATATAGATTGAGCGGCGCTTCCATACAACAGGTCTAAATTTCTGGCTACCCAGAGCTCGATCTGTCTTTTGTCTTGTCTCTCTTTCTTTCCATACAAGGGTGCTAACTTGACCATTGGAGGGGTTTTCTGGCAACCACCCACCGGGTAGCTCACCGTCATTGTGTTCTCAGGTTAGCCGGAAGGAAGCGCAGCTTGGACACAAGGAGTACAGATAACGTCGGATATTTGGCTCCCGTACATTACCATTGCTGGATGTCCTCCCGGTCATCCCCCGGATGACCACCTAAAAACAAAAATTTGTGAAAAAATTACACTGGCTAGCCGACCGATGGTTTGATAAAACTCTAAATCCCTCTGTTGGAGCACTTAATATCAAAGAAAGTTTTTACTCAAATTTGATGAAAAAGTTAATGTACCGTTAAAGATGCTCTCAGACAAACTAAAGCCAAAATGTGAGAAATATTGTATTGGGAGGAAACCAAGTTGCAAACTCTTAAAGACTTTTTTTTTTTTTGAACATAACTTCTCAAGACTTATATAAATAGAAACACTCAATAAGCTTCTTTAGTTTGAATTTTTAGGATTCACTTTTCAGAAGATTAAAATTTTTTATTTTTCCAATTTTTTTGTTTTTTACTAAATTATTTTAATATTTTAAGTAATTTTTTAATTTTTAGATATATCTAATATAAATATATTTAAAAATTATAATATTTGTGAATTTTTTTTAGAAAATTCATTAAAAATACGAGAATTCAGTACATTTTTCTTATTCTTGTATATTTATTGATTTTTTAATTTTTTTTTACAAATATTTTACTTTTTACATACATCTAAATAAGGTGTAGTTGAAAAAGTAAAAAAATTGCTTAAAATTTTTAAAATATTCACTAAAAATAAAAATATAAGAAAAATAAAAAATTTAATTTTCAAAAAATTAAATCCAAAAAATTAAAATCAAACACACTGACGTTTGTAGGGGCATTTTTAATTGGGATTTTGGGTCATAAATAATCTAATTTACGGATTATCTGGCCCATCAGTTTTTATTTTTTATTTTTTTTTTACAACTTGGTGTCCGATTTTAGAGACTGACTAATCGACTCCATCACTTTCAAACCACCAACCATTCCTCTCCTCATAACCAAAATTTTAGAAAATTTTCACGTGCTGTATTAAAATTTTAAAATCTCATAACTAAAATTTTGTTATCTCGCTTTCAATAAAAGTTATACTTTTTGATTCGGCAAGATCTTTAAAACAATATTCCTATTGAATATGAAAATTTAAAGAAAAAAAAAAAGATAGATAAATTTATATGTTCACTTTGAATTTTTTTTTTTTTAAAAAAAAAAGTAATGATACAAATAAAAAATTCATTCAAAATTTTTATATTAGGGAAAAATTGAGACCTTTCATTTTTTTTTTATAAAAACAAAAAAAAAATTCTATAAAGATTACTTATATTTACAACAATGCTGCTACCACATTTCTTGGGGAGAAATTACCCAAAAAAAAAAAAAAATCGAATTTGACCCTTATAACAAAATAAATTTTGAACTTTTAATTTTATCGATTTAAATTCTAAATTTTGGAGTTATTTTCAATCTAAACCATTTGCTTATTTTTGTTAAATAAAATCGACGAAAAAAATGATATTTTAATCGTTAAACCTAATGAAAATATATATTTTAGACATTTTATATATACTTATATTTGGTTTAATGTCTAAAATATATTTTTTTAGAACAAAAATAAGCAAATGGTTTAGATTAAAAATAAATAAAAAATTTAGGGTTTAAATTGACAAAATAAAAAATTCTTGTTACAAAGATCAAAATCTTATTTATTTATTTTTTTTTTGGTGATTTCTCCTATTATTATTATTATTATTATTATTATTATTATTATTATTATTATTATTATTATTATTATTATTTTATTATGTGTTTGTGTGTCTGAATTTTATGTATAAACAAAAAAAAATTATCCAAGAATGACCAGCCTGCCTCTGTATTTCCATATATATATTTTTTTCCTATTAGACAGACTTAATTTTTCTTAAGTTGTGTTGAGATCATAAATTTGAGTAAAAATTTAAAAAGAAAAATAAAAAAGTAAGTAAAATATATTTATATTTTATTTACATTTTATTTAACTTTTTCTTTTTATTTTTTAAATTTTTTCTCAAAAAATACATGGAGACGGTTAAGACGACTCTTTTGTTGTGACTAGTCCATCATCTGATTGTCTCATTGATCTCTTCTTTTACAGATTTCATTGGACATCAATCCATATTTTATTTTAATAAAACACACGAAGCGTTTGAGGGTCCGTTTGGAAAGAATTAAAGTGGACTTTTTTGGTTATTTTAGTCACAAAAGACAAAATAGGCTATTTTAGTCACAAAAAATAAAACATCACATCCAACCCATAATCATTACACTCTTCTCTCACAAAAAAAGTCAAAAAATCTAAAAAGTCAAAAAGCCCTTCCCAAACCAAGCTTTTTAGCCCAGACTAAAATAACCAAAAAAGTCAAAAAGTCAAAAAGCCAACCCACTTCCCAAACGGAGGCTGAATAGATTCCCAAAAGTGATGTACACATAAAAATGCGGATTTGTTTGGTTTGTGTTTTTCAAAAAATTTAAAAAAAAATTCTCTACAAATAAGTTTTCAAAAGTAATCAAACCAAACAAATTTTCCTAATTTTTTTTTCAAAACTTGTTTGATTTACAAATTTTCTAAACAAATCTCTCTTTCATACACATCAAATCAATCACTTTTTTCAAAATTCTCTCTCAAAATAATTTTTCAAAACATCTTTTAAAAAAAAACCAAACCAAATAAATTTTCGTACTTTTTATCTCAAAACATGTTTCTCAAATACAAACCAAACAAGACCGCAATCTTCTAAAGTATCCCCACTCAAACTGATTTTGAAGTAGTTCCCCATGTTAATCCACAATCATTAACTCTTAGTAAACTTTTTTTTTTTTTTTTTTTTTTTTTTTTTTGAGTCATATCGGTTTAGTGGAAAAGTTTCTTCTTTCTCCCTCACACTTATTAATTTAGTTAACTGTGTAGTATTCAATTGTTGTTGACTTATTGTGTCTATTTAATAAACAAAAATAATTGCAAGATGCAGGCTATATATATATATATATATATTTTTATAGCTAATTTGAGTTTGATATAAGCATTTGTAATTGTCTTTATTTGGTAAAAGTTAAAAAGGTTTGTACAATTTATTTATTTTTTTGAACCTTTTGTTTTTAGTGATTTTATTTATTTATTTATTTTTAAAATTTGTATCAAAACTTTTTTACTTTTCCTATTAGTCCAATCTTGAAAGGATGTAAAATAAAAAAACGAAGAAATTCTTTAGTGAATTTTTTTCTAAACTTTTTTATTTTTCTTTTAAGGGAATCGTTTTTTTTTTTTTTTTTTTTTAATTTTAAAAAAAGAAGTTCAATATACATGAATATACAAGATTTTTTTTTTTTTGGTTAATTTTAAAACAAGTTCAATATATATGAATATACAAGATTAACAAAAAAAACTGCTAAAAAAACAATTGACAAACCCAACCTAAATAACTCGTGTTATTATTACATCCCATTGCAACAATACTAATGACACACAACAATATCTTGACCAAAACCAAAAACACATAAAAAATAATATTCCTGGTACAAATATGAAAAATGTTGTTACATCCCATTGAAACAATAGTAATGATACACAACAATATCTTGACCAAAACCAAAAAAAAAACACACACACATACACGCACAAATGATATTAGTGGAACAAATATGAAAAATGTTTTATGCAGCTTTTACGCAGATCATCTCCATCTTTAGAGTTGTGATAAGCGGCGAATATCAACAGGATATGCATCTGAGGGAGACTCCGCGCTATACGATCTCCTTCCCACGATGATGTTTGCAGCTTCACTAGGATGAAATGCATCCCAAAACAGATACTCGTTTCTATTTTGGCACGGAGTTTGAAGTGGGAGACATGTAATTTGACCATTATTCCTCCCTACACCACAACATCCAGTATTTGTAACCGTAAAACCTGAAATAACCGAAATAGAATCAATGACAACATTATCAACTCATCTGAAAACTTAAACTGTTGAAGACGCATTGTGAAAAGTTACCGAAAGATGAGGGTTGGTTGATTAGATCTTGAAAAATCCCATAAGCATTGATGTAGATGAATTTGGCACCAGGGAGGTTGTTGTTGAAGTCATCAACTAGGGATTTGAGTTGGTCATTGAATAGTTGAATTGCAGAGTTGATGTTTTGGACACATGATGAGCCATCCGGGCTGTTTTGGGCCAATGCATTTGGGCTGCAGCCAATCTGACCCACTGCTATACAGACTACTTTCCTTGCTCCATAGTTGTACAATGTCTATTCCCACAATTAAACAAGAAGCAAAACTCTTATCATTTGTTTAATTGATTAACTAAATGTGTTGCATGTCATGACATCACACAGAGTCTAGCCCACTAAACAGGCCCTAATGCCAAAGGACTAATGGGCCTAGCCACATTTGAGCCAATTTCAGCCTGTAATAAGCCCCAAACTGGCTAAAATAAAAACAAAAATAAAAATAAAAATATATCTTTCTTTTTCTTGTGAATAGAAAATGAGGTTAATGACTTTCAAATTAGCAATAAGTCCCTTAAAAATTAGCAATTTTTGTATGAGGGTAAGTGTCACATGAATACCGATATCTTCTTTGATTGGCTTAGATAGTAGAATTTATAACATTTATATTGTTATTTGGGAGACAATATAGAGAATGGTTATTTGTAATTTGTTGAAAGTATCACGTGATACTATATATGTAATACTCTCCCAACACCCAAAACTCTTTTCTAAAGCAATCAGAAGTACTAAAAGGCAATCAATCTTCTAGGCTTCCTTTCCTGCAAGATTTCAGAAAAATTAAATGAATGTAGTGTTACCACACACATAGAGTTATTGCTTATATGGATTAAACTTGTGACATAACCTTCAGCTTGTCCCACTCGTAACATTTTTCGCTATGTGTTGAATCCATTACCAGACCAAAAATAGGAAGAAATTGCATAGAAAATAAGAGGAAAAAAGAATAGTACCAACCCTGATTTGCTGAGAATATTGTTGAATGAGAACCTGAGCATATTGTTCAGGTGTATATTGGCGACTAGTGGAGTAGTAAGTAGGCATGAAATAATTGTTGAGATAGTCATTACTGCCCAATCCAACAGAGTAAATGCACTGGCTTAGATAATTTGCAGCTGAGTCCCCATCACCCAGTATGTCCACCACTTGTGATACTGTGGTTTTGTAATTATTTACTTGCCCATTCATTGTAATCCGACCACCCTATTAATCACAACACATTGTATACATTATATACACACACACGAATGAGTAAATGCATGATATAGAGACTGTTTAGAGAAACTTATCTGAAATTTTGAGAGTTGATGTCAGATTATTTAGTGTAGTTTCGGATTGTAGTTAAAAAATAGTTTAAACAAGATGAAAAAAAGAGAGTTAATTATCTAGAAGTTTAAAGAGGGTTGGTTTTTATTTTTATTTTCTGATTATCAGTTTTTAGTTAACAATAAATTACACCATGCACATAATGTTTGGGAAAAAATTGATCAATTATTTTCAAAAACTGTTTTTGAATTATTTATTTATTTTAAAACAGAACATTTTCGGAACACACTAAATAGAAATAGTGTAAAAATGACGAGTTTTGAAACTTTTCATTAATTTTGTTGTTAAAAAACAAAAACTCAACGCAAGATTTTTTGGCAAAATTAATAAAAACTTTTTTGGAAAATTATTTTTGGAAAAATTTCTGAAAACAACTCACCTTTTTAGAAACTCACTTTTCAAAATTGGTAAATTGTTTTTGAACAAAATGAAAACGGTTAGAGTTTTTGAATTATCTGTTTTCAAAAACACGCAAAAAATAAAATAAAATCAAAAGTAGAGAAAACAAAAGCAAATTACCAGTTGTTGGCCAGTCTCGTCTCTAATTCCAGCAGCAGCAGATGCATAATTTACTCCTTTGAGAATGTCTTCACCTCTTGCTGCTGAATACGGAGGGATATAATTGTCAAATCCCAATAGCTCAGCTAAAAATCACCAAAAAAAGTTTGTCAGTGCCATCAATTACACCATGCGTGTCCTATGAAATTTATAACTATAAAATTTTAAATACAAAAAAAAAATAAAAATAAAAATGTATGATATAATTGCTCGTGATTTAATGACATTTAATTAACAGTATTACAAACAGGATATTGGATTGAATCCTTAAAATATATTGCGGTGGTCGTGATTATTAAACTTGTTACATGGAAAACAGGGGTTAGTATAGTTATCATCATAGAAACAAGGGTTAATTATATTTTTATTTAGTAAAGGTTGCATTTTATGTTATTTTTGTCTTTGTTAAAGTGTCAGTACCAGTTCATGGTTTAGCTTTAGATTATAAGAATGATTTGTAGATTTTTTTTTGTCAATCTCCAAGATTTGGATGCAAACATGACATAGATTTTCTTCCTTAGCTTTTTTTTTTTTTTGCCTTTAGTATCTGTTTGGCAACTTGACTTTTTTAGTGACTTTTTAACTTTTTTATGAGATGAAAAAAATTAATATATTTGAAATAATTTTTTTTAGTAGAATACATAAGCCCTGTTTGGTAGAGCTGTGGGAAAGTGCTTATATCTTATGCCTAAACAGTTTATAGCTTATAACTATGAACATAAGCTGATTTCTGACTTATTCTTAAAGCATCTCCTACCCCACTCAAAGAATAAGCTGATTTCTGACTTCCAAAAAGTTATAAGTTATAAGCTATAAGCTAAACCAAACACATCAAAATAACTTAAATTAAGCTGAAAGCTGAAATAAACTGATTATAATTTCTGCCAAACAGGCACATAGTTATGAAGAAAAAAAATCATTAATTGACGTGTATAATATAACATTTCAATTATTTTAGCCAAAAAGTTGGCTAAAAATAGGCCATGAACTTTTTTTTTGAATTTTGTTAAACAAAATTCTTAAATCCATTTATACTAGAAAAATTTGAAAATATAAATACATAAATTTTTAAAAAAAAATCAATAAAGACAAAAAAAAAAAAGGTATGCTGATCCCAAACTCACCCAATTTTTCTGAATTTGAACTCATAATAGATCCAAACAAGGCTTTAGCTGACATCATGGTGGCATAAGTGAAACAAGGCTATAGTCACTCCTACTGGGCCCCCATGTTAGGCCGTCATAACCTTAAATTCAATCGCGACAACGGCACGCAAACACTTAAAAGAGTTGCGGCCCACATGGCCCAGTATATTTATGAAATTCATGATTACAAAAATGGTACACTTGTGTACGGTGCGTTTCGATCGAATAAAATTATAAATTAAATTATAAATGATGAATTAAAAAATAATCAAATTATAGTTTGGATAGTTTTAATTTGTTAATTGATTAAAATATAATCTTAAATAATTATCAAGTATTTATATAATATATAATACTAATTTATATAATATTTTTTATAAATATAACACTAACTAATTTTTATATAATATTTTTTATATATATAATATTAATTTATAACAAATTTTACATCTGAAATCTTTCACACACTGATTTTTACTTTGATATTTTATTAGAAGTAAAAAAAAAAATATTAACTATAACGGAGTGTGACAATTTCAAAAACGGATTACAAATTTCAAATTACGGATTAAATTAACTCACAATTAATGAGTAAATTAATGTGAATTGGACGATATTTTACACAACCTAAGTAGTATACTATACCCTATGATGATCTTGAACTATCTATACATATCGACCTTTTGATAAACAATAATAAAGTATACAAAATGGGTAGTGTTACTATATATACACATTTTAAAAGAATGTATATAATGGATCAGACTTTTTGTGCAATAAATCTCTTTGTGAAAGTCCAATGATATGTATTTAAAGTAAAATTAAAACTATTTCGTTTTAGGTTGTGTGGTTTAATATTATTTTATTTTAATTTCAATTTTAATTGTTGAGTTATGCATTTAATTAACATGCTTTGTTATAATAAAAATCGCAGGAAAGCACCAAAAACTCCGTTATAATGATTCATAACTTTTATTAATTGGGCCATAACAATTAACAAATTGATTCATAACAAAAAGTACAACAAAACCTCATAACTCGAACCATTTTGGTTGATAAAAAAGTAAGGCAACTTCGATTCATATTCATACACCTCAAAATCACATGACTAAAATCAATTTGTGTTATAACTAAAAACACCACAAAAGTCTCATAGCTAACTACCAAAAATTCTCATAATTAAATTTATCATTAATTTGACTACGACAAAACTTTATAACTACGCACCACCTAATTAATAATTAAGATAACAAATTTCATAATTAGGACATATAGTACAAACCTTTTAAGAGTCTATCGTAGAATTTTCGCACACAAAATATATGTCTGCTAAATTTGCATAACTAATGTAGTACTGTGAATTTACTTAAATGAATGAAAAAGTGAAAGTCATACACAAATTTTACTTAAATGGTTGGGGGTTCTACTCTCTTAAGAGCTAGTTTAACAACTATAACAATTAACTTTTGAATATTTATCACCCAAAAAAAAAATAATAATAATGATAGCTAAGAAGGAAAAAAAAAATGAATGTGTTACGTAAATTGATGAAAAATTGACTTATAACTTGTACTTGACTGTTAATGTACACCTCCTACACCACTAAAACCTACCACTACCACTACACACCTCCACTACTCCCAAAACCTCTCTATATATAGGACTTGTAATATACAGATACAAAAATCAACAATACATCAATCAATACATATATCAATCTATAATACTTCAATTTATCTTGGTATCAGAGCAGGTTTAGAACCTAATATTTTCGCTTCACCGGCGGGCGGCAACCTCACCTTAGCCGTCCGCCGGACCTCAACCAATTCCGCTAAAATTTTCTACACATACCTTCACTCTCCGACTCCGGCCCCTGAAATCGGCGCCGACTCGCTCTCTCCGTCCCCTGAATCCGGAGCCCCGGAGACTCCTTCACCTTCCCGCCGTCCAGTGGGTTTTCCTGGGCTGCCCTTGAATCCCACGCCGCCGCTGCTGAAGACGGTGTCGGAGACCGACGACCTCGTGAAGCCGAGGGAGATCACTCCCCTCTTCCACAGAAACCCTCTTCGACCCAAACGACCTCCTCAGCCTCTTCAGTCCCTAGCAAAATCATTTTTACATTCTCTCTCTACTTCATCAACACCAATGGCTGCCTCTTCAACCTCTGCCGCTCTCAGAGCCATCTCTTCCGGTTCATCTCCTCCGGTTCATCTCCTCTGGTTTCATCGTGAGATCTCACCGGCGGCGACTTTCATCTCCTCCGGCGGTCTTATTCACGCCTTGGGTTCGGGCGCGATTGTGAGCTGCGCCGCAGTCAACGGCGGCGGCGGGAGTATGAAGAGCTGCGTGCTGTCGTCAACCTTTGCCGTCTTCCTTTCTTCATTCCTTGTATTGGGATCGATTGCCACCTTGTACGCTTGGTTTATCATTACTCCTCATGTCCATACGACTCTCTCACCTCTTGGCTGTCAAGACGACAATGAGGGCTCCTGGTCTATCGGTGTCTTCTACGACGACTCACCCTTTTCTCTCAAACCTATCGACTCTGTGAATCAATGGAGAGATGAGAGTGCCGCCTGGCCTGTGGCCAACCCAGTCCTCACTTGTGCTTCAGTTTCTAATGCCGGTTTCCCTAGTAATTTTGTTGCCGACCCTTTTCTTTATGCTCAGGTAAATTTCATTTTCAAATTTTTTTCTCTCTCTTCCTTTTCTTTAATTTATTCATTTGTTTTTTCGTTCCAGTCTGTGTAGATGTGTTCATAATTTACATATATTATATATGTGTATTTGATTTCTATGAATTAAGTTGGTGTTTGTCTTCAATGGGCAATGAAACAGTACCATTAATACGGAGGTGGTGATGTTGATTTTTTTAAAAAAAAAAAAAATTGAATAATAAATTTTGATCTTACTGCCACCCTCTGTTTTGCCCTTGCTTTAGCCTGCTTGAATCGAGTAATTTGTTGTTTTTTAAACAATTATTTATTTTCAACTTGTGAGTCGTTGTCTTTATTGCTATTATTTTAATTTCACAGTTGGAATTGGAAGATATGATATCTAGATCCCAAAAATTAAGTCCTAGATCCAAAATAAGTTGTTTTTTGAGACGTTTCAACTCTTAATTAAATTGGTTTGGAAGGCCTTTTGTGTCTTGATTAGCAAATTGGTTCGAAAAGGCACTAAAAATTAAAATCAATTGTGGTTGAGAAAAAGTTGCTGGTCCAATAGATAAAAGTGATTTTTGCATCTTGAAAGGAAAGACACTTTTTATTCAATCAAAGAAACTAAAGTAAATCAGTTATCGTTGATTGGGATTTTTCTTTTTCTTTTTTTCTTTTTTCCCTCCCTCTCAAAAAGCCACCACCAGCTACCCACCATCCACCGTCATCACTTTCCACCACCGTCTTCCGCCGCCACTTGCCACCACTTGCTATTTCTCACTCTTTTTATATTTTTAAAATTTGTTAAATATTTTGTCAATTACCAAACGCGTTTGCAGTTTATGTTTTTCTAAAAATAAACAAAAAATAAACAAAAATCAGTTTATAAATTTTTTGTAAATATAAACTGAAAACGTAAACGTTACCAAACACTTAACAACTATAACAATTAACTTTTGAATATTTACCACCCAAAAAATAATAATAATAATGATAGATAAGAAGGAAAAAAAAAATGAATGTGTTACGTAAATTGATGAAAAATTGACTTATAACTTGTACTTGACATTTCAAATACAATGAAATGTTTAAAATAATCTCTCTTTTTTCCTTATTTTTTTTTTCTAACAACCATGAGAGCCATAGTCTTGGTACACCCATGGCTGCTAACGTAGCTAGGAAAAAGGAGAAAGAAAAAAAAGAAGAAAAAGAGAACATTAAGTCGTTTTAAACATTTCACAATATTTGAGAAGTCACATGTCAAATTTCCATCAATCTATGTAATGAATTCTTAACGAAATGTTCACACTATTGATAGTTTAGTATAACAAAGTATAATATTTTTTGGTTAAAAGGTAAAGCCATACTCAGCAAAATTAATTCACCCTAAAATAAAATAGAATAAAATAAATAAATACATTTGTTAACAAGAATCATTTTCCTATATATATACACATAGAGGAAGAGGGAGAGGGAGAGAGAGCTGACCAATGACATCAACAGTAGTTTTGCCATTAGAAAACCTTCCAGTAGGTCATACATCAATTTATCTTACAAAGTCGTTTTAAACATTTCACAATATTTGAGAAGTCACATGTCAAATTTCCATCAATCTATGTAATGAATTCTTAACGAAATGTTCACGCTATTGATAGTTTAGTATAACAAAGTATAATATTTTTTGGTTAAAAGGTAAAGCCATACTCAGCAAAATTAATTCACCCTAAAATAAAATAGAATAAAATAAATAAATACATTTGTTAACAAGAATCATTTTCCTATATATATACACATAGAGGAAGAGGGAGAGGGAGAGAGAGCTGACCAATGACATCAACAGTAGTTTTGCCATTAGAAAACCTTCCAGTAGGTCCTTCAGGGAAGTCAATCCCATAAGGCAAGTAATTAGCTCTTGCCAATGATGCTATATTATTGTTATTCCCATTATCCACCAATGAATCTCCAAATATGAAGTAACATGGCACTTGTGGCTCTGCCTCAGCACCACCACTCAAACTCAAAACCACCACCACCACCACCACACACACCACCACCACCCACCTCCTAACCTCACCAGCCATACCCAAAACAATCAAAAACAACAACAAAAAAGAGCTTTAGAGAAGCAAATGATAAAGGTGTGTTCGGTGTGTGATGCAATTAAAAGGGTAAAAGGGGTTATATAAATATAGGGGGTGGAGACAAAAGAGGACCGACTCTGAGACTGACACAACATTATTTTAGAGTCCAAATGGAGAGAGTGGCAATTTTTGTTTAGTCAATTACGTAAAAGGAAAATGTTTGAAATCATAAAGGAGGACTCTACTATTTTATTGATGTATTGATTATTGATATGTTTGAATTTTTTTTTTCTATCTCTAACAGTAATATGAGTGGTTTAGATTTTTTTGGAGTTGTAGAGATTGTGTTTTGAGAGGGTCTTTATCATTACTGTTATCTAAAAATCCTATTTACAAATGTTATGGTAGCTCATGTCCTATCTACAATTTTTTAAACTAGTAAGTCTTATTTAGTAAAACTGAGTATATTATCAGTTTTTTTTTCTAATTTTTAAAATTAAGAACATTATTAATTTTGCATAGTAATGTTCAAGATAATTGTTTCACTAACTGATAAAAAAAGAGAGCATGAGATTAAACGTTTTTGCCCTTCTACTTGTAATTTGATTCAACTATAGTTTTTTTACATTTTTAAAACTGAGAACATTATCATTTTTTTTCATTTTTAAAGTTTTTTTTTTCAGTTTTGCACATTAATTTTTCATCATCATGCTCCGTTATAGACACAAAATTTTCAATTTCATACAAAAAAATATTTCATTTTTTTTAATATTTCAATATTTTTTTTTTTGCACATAATTTTTTTAAATTTTTTTTGTCAATTTGAAAGTTGATATTTTAAAGTTTTGAAAATCAAATTAAATGTCAAATCATCATGTTCTTTTATAGATAATCATAAATAATAAATAATCATTGTTTAAATGATAATTTCAACTATTAAAAATTTCATAAGATTTAAAATTTTAAAAAATCTTAATTAAAACTTAATAAAGTATAAATTTATAAATTAAAACTTATGTAAATATCTCTTATTTTTTTCAGCTTTTGCTTTTACAGTTGAGAAGTTTGTTAGGTGCATTGATTTCACGCGGACATAATGTGTGATAGAGTCATGGAGGAGGCAATGCAAGCTCATTGACACTCTCTTGAATTTTTCGTGGGGGTGATCTCTGTGTGTGCTTTGTATTTATTAAAATGAATAATAAATGGGGCATGTATAAATGCTTCACATGGTGGAGCCATGTTTTGGCATGAGAAAATGAGGGGATTTTTGGAGCTCATTTGATCTCAATGGTTGATTTTGTAAGATTTGTTGGGAAAGTCATTTATGTAAAAAAAATTAAATTTATCAAATATCGGTAATTATATAAGTATATCACATTTGTTTTAAAAATTGAAAAGTTTATCATAAAAAAATAATATTTATCGTTCAAATTATTTTTTTAAAGACATGTTATCTGATTATATAGTCATCGATATCCGATCAATTTAATAATCTATTTGATGTATCCTAGGAATTTTATTTTTTTTTGAATCATCTCAACAAGCCTAGAAGAGTGGACCCTACCTTAATTGCAATGAACACTCCAAACCAAAAAGTTGTGCTAGAGATTCGAAATAATTTATTAAAATTTTTATCAAATTTCTCACATGGGTATGAGACCCACACACTTGTGAGTTTGTGTGTATTCCAAACCCATGTTAAAAATTTGGTAAAAAATTTGACAAATCATTTGAGATCGATAGTATTTTCCCAAACCAGAAAAGGAGAATATAAGATTAAAAGTGATAAATTTATCCAAGTGCCTAAAATTTATCTACATCCAAAACATTAAATAAAAAGGAAAGTACATATTTTTTTTTTTTAATACAAAAGTATCCATCACAATGACATGATAGAGGCCTTTATTTAAATTTAAAAAAATAACTTGGTGTTTTTTAATTTTAAAATGATAGGCTCACAAAGGCCACAATTCAACACATCATTATCTATAAGATTTTGTATTATTATTATGAAAAGACTTTCAAAATATCATTTATAAATTTATCCACGTTTGTTTCTAGCTTATAAGCTTATTTTAAATTATATTTTTATAGTACAAAAAATATATTTTTCATTGCATACATCACAATAAATATTTTAAAAAATAATTTTATATGTTTGTATGTATAGACACATACATATAAATAATTCAATTAAAATTTATAAAATTTTATTAGTTGAACCCATATATTGCAAGATCAACTACTAATCACTTTATATGAATTTGCCTAATATAAATAAATTTAAGAATAATATTTTAATAGCCACTAACCTTACTCAAATTTCATTATCCAAATTTTTAAATAAGTGGTGGTGCCAAATATATTGATGTCAAACATTTCACAACATTACATGTGCCTTAACTGTCACACTTTTGACATAGATGTGTCTACAAAATAAATGCAACATTTTTTTTCTTCTTATAATAACATTTTAGCCCCCATACTTCTTTGATAAATCAAATGGATTAACTTTGGAATAATAAAAAAGTTGGTGGGACAATAATGGAACACGGGCTTAGAGCTAACACTTTTTTTGAAGTCTATCGTTGTCTACTTTCTCTTTCCCATATCCCATTTAAGAGATAGAGTGTAGGGTTGATGAAAACAGTTTGCTAGTAATTTCAAAGTGAAAGCCCAATTAATTCAAAAATGTAATCAGACATATGGTCAAACACTATAGTCAGGGTATGGGTTGACTTTCTTATTGGGTTTTTTTTTTTCTATCTTTATTTAAGTTTTTATTAAAAATTTACGCTTTCAAATTTTACTCGATTAGAAAGAATATTTTTTTTAAAAGAATTTGGAAAAAGTCCAGAAAGGACCAAATAAATAAATACAAAGCAAAAAATAGTTTATTTTTATTATTTTTAGTATTTTTTATTTAAAAAATAGACAGACCTAAAAAGTAAAATTTTTTTATATAATTTTGAAAAAAGATCATTAAAAACAAAAAAACAAAATTAAAATTAAAATTGTAACTTTTTAAACTTGAGCACAGGGGAATCCAACTGTTGAGAATCAAGAAGGTGGCTGATCGGATGGCATGTAGAATTTAGAAACACCATGACTAGCCTATTAGGTCAAAGCAACTCATTTAACCACAACAACTTGCCTGTTGGATGAGGCATAAGACCTGGAACTTTTGCTCTCTTCAAGGTTTCAAAATCGACTCCCTTTGGTCTTAAAAATTCTTGAGACTCCCTTCAAGATTTTAAAATCGACTCCCTTTAGTCTTAAAAATTCTTGAGACGATGGATCGCAAATTTTAGAATCATGTCTTAAAAGATTTGTTTCGACTCTAAACACTTGACGCACACTAACCGAGAATATCCTAAACAAATAAAATAAAAATAAAAATAAAAAGCAGCTCATTTTATGCAGGTATACCTAACCATAATGGTGGGTGGGCTGACCTACTAAAAATTAATGTTTGGGGACTTGGTCATATATTTGTATTACCGCGTGACTTTGCATTGTGCTGTTATGAGGGAGCTGCAACACTCACACTCACATCACGTCCCACATGATTTATATATATATATCAAGATTTTAGCATGTTAATTTGTTAGTGAAATTGTATTACAAATAACGGAATCATCGTTACTCTATTAACTCAAAGTAATTTCTATATAATACAACTTATGTAGTTTTTATAGATTTTCGTTTACCGTTGTTTACGAGATTTTTATAGTCTTTTTATTTATTTTAAGAATTTGCTTCAAGATATTCGGTATAGATTACCATTTATTAATTGAAATTGATTTTAAAAAAACAATAAAAGTTAATTATTTAAAAAAAATTTAAAAAATGAATAATTATTAACTTTAGTATTCAAATTAGGAGCATTTAAGTTTGCTAGAAACTTCACCAGCGATCCTTTGCCAACCTTTATGACATTTGCGTGGTCCCTCATCCCTAGCTTGTTTTCTTTCCTATTTCGATGGTTCACCATGTCCATTGTTTGGTGCGAGTTTTTAAGGTTATGTTTGATTTATGAATTTGGGTAATGATTTAAAAAGAAAAATAGAAAATGTGAGAAAAATAAGTAAAATGTAGTTGTGTTTCATTCACATTTCACTTATTTTTTTCCTTTTCTTTTTTAAATCCCTACCCAAATTCATAAACCAAATACAGTTCTAAGAAAAAATATTTTTCAAAGAATCACATACAACAACTCTCTAGGACGACTCGTTATCTTATGAAGTTAAACCTCAGCACACAATTTCTTCTTCTAGTGGATGCGTGGTTGCAGATTTGCCTTGGGTGATGGATGATTTTTGTCCACCTTCCTTGTTTTACTTTAAGATGTGCTAGTTTCGTCTAACTCCTTTTGTGAAAGATTAATCTTATTAAACTAGTTAAACTGTTTCGTCTAAGCATTTAATTTAAATGTCACTTCTTTAAAGTTGTGTTGATCCTCAAAAGATAATCTGAGATAGCATTTATAAGGCATGTGACTATATATAGCATTAATTAATTAATACAATTCCGAACAGGGTAGTTGAAGCAAGCACAATTATTTGTTGCGCACATCAACTTCTAGCTAGTATTACCATGATGATTACATCAACAACACAAACTCATTTATGAGAGGATAGTGTCTCTAGAATAGTTTCTTTCTTGGGTATTTTGGGAACAGCAATGCTAGGTATCATGAAAAACTTTTCATGAAAATAATCATGAAAGCTTTGTAACCCTTAGATTACACTTAGAATAAAGCACCACACACTAATCAAGGTAATTCAATGATCATAAATCTTTCATGATCATTTTCATGAAAAAAATTTCATGATCCCTAACTTTTCTCTTTTGGGAACAATAATATTGAAGTTGACTGAATTTTAGTACTGAACTTTGGATACTACTAATGTATAACAATAGTACGTATTTAAAAAAAATACATAAAAAAATATTTAGAATTTAAATTGTGTTAATCATATTCATTGTAAGTGGCCCACAGTATACCAAGTTCAAACATATATCATAGATTAAATTTTTGACACTTTTCTAGATATTTTTTTTTCAGGCATGTAGTATTTCTGATTTA